CACCAAGTTCATGATTTACTGCAAAGACATAATAGGAGCTGAGTCTAGTGTACAAGTTGTAGTGGTTTTAATAGAAAGTGAATGATGATAACACACCGTACATGGCTGACTATGGTTCCTGGGTTGATAAGCCTCTTCCATGGACTTATTTCAGTTATGTTGAAGCCAACATGGGTAGAAACAATGCAAAATATTTTTTTATTCTAAAAATTTTATTCTAAAATATTCTAAACAAAAAATATATGCTGCAGTCCTCATTTTCCCATTAAGAATGCTTCTAGGTGCACCACACCTTTCATCACCTTGCAAGACCAAAGATGCAAAGATAAGAAACATATGGATCATGTTCATAAAAATGGTCTCATAGAATTACATGCTGAAAAAGCAGGAGCAGCACTAGCTTTGGTGGAACAACACAGAAAAACTTCAAGAAAAAAATCTGATTGTCCCTGTCTGCTCTTCACTTGTGTAACCTCACCTCAAGTGCCAGGGGCACTCTTGGGTACCACAATACAAGAAAGACATTAAGATCTCAGAGTGCATCCAAATGAGAGCTGCGAGGATGGTGAAGAGCCTTGAGGGGAAGCCATATGAGGAGTGAATGAGGTCACTCAATCTGTTCACCCTGGAGAAGAAGAGACTGAGGGGAGACCTCATTGCAGTTACAACTTCCTTGGGAGGGGAAGAGAAGGGCCAGACACTGATCTCTTCCCTGTGGCAAATGGTGACAAAATGTGAGGGAATGGCCTGAAGTTACATCAGAAAAGATTTAAGTTGGATATTAGAGAAAGATTTTCATCCAGTCGATGGCTGGGCACTGGAAAAGGTGTCCTAAGGAAGTGGTCACTGCATCAAGCCTCACAGGGCCCAAAAAGCATTTGGTCAATGCTCTCAGGCACATGGGGTGACTCTTTGGTATACCCTGGGCAGGGCCAGGAGTCAGACTCAATAATCCTGATGGATCCATTTCAACTCAGGATATTTTATAATTCTATGATTTAGGTTGCATTTTGCAAACGCCAACACCACTTGCTTTTCACAGTACTAATACCACAGAAGCTGTTGTGTAAGTAAAGGAAGTGGAAGGTTTCTTGGAATGTAAAGTATCAAAGTATTCTTTCACATTTCTTATTTAGCCAGTGGCCATGGCCCCTCACATAGGAGCTCAGCCATAAGGAAACTTGCTGCACAAGAGGGAACCATGTCTCTTCCTTGTGCCCCAGTCCAGTGCAGTGAGGCATCCCTTCCCTCAAAGCTGGCTGCAACCAGTCTGTTCTGCCCACATAACACGAAAAAGGGGAGATACAGGGTCCTCAGAACCAATCAGGGAGGAGATGCTGGAAGTAGCTTTCTGCCCACAGGGCAACATGATGCCATTTGCACACAGGGAGTTGGTGACAGCAATGCAATACACACACAAACACGTGGGACTATGGTACCAGTCTATAGCCCATTGCCAGGGGCAATGTTCAACATGCTGAGCAGAGAGAAAATCAAAAGGATTTTTATGTGAGTTATGGTTCATGAAGAGGCAGCAGTTAACATTTGACTGAGAGTTAAAAGGCTGTCAGCAGTTCATGCTCTAATGGCAAGAGACTGTCAGTTCCCAAATGGCTTACAGATCAATTTTATTGCTGGTAGGACAAGAAAAGCAACTTAGTGATGGAAAAGTTGTGCTGGATGAAACAAGGAAAGTTGTGAGAGGAGGGGTGTGTTGAAGAACTGAGAATAATGCAAGACCAGGACCTGAGAATGACTCTGAACTGAGCTGAGCATCAGCTATGTGCCTGTACTTCCTAAATCCAGTCTGAGCCTTAAAACTTTTCTGCACATCCCAGTGGCCTTGATATGGGACTATCCTTTTGTCTCAATCACAAACAATCTGCTTATTCTTCTCCTTTTTTTTTTTTTTTTTTTTGTTTGATTTAGCTAAGGTGGTAAATTTTACTTTATTCAGGGATTATTATTAAGTTATATAAAACAGCATTGGCATGTCTAACAGGGTAATAAACAAAGTCTTGAACCTGGAAAAGTGCAGTCTCTTTCATCTTTTTACCTTTCCCTCTCTTTTTGCATTTTAGGAGAGCACTTATCCTTTTCACAAGCTCTTTTCCCCAGCTCCTCTATTATTCGGTCATAACCTGTCCTGTGTTACTATGTTTTTGCTTTTATTTTATTTCTCCCTTCATCTCTAGTCTTTGTTATTCTATTCTCCTGTTGCATCCTGTTGCTTCTTATTATACAGCTTTATTCTTGCACAAGGATTGCCTCCTGCAGACACTGGTCTGCCCTTCCCTATATCTTGGTCTCTTCCCACAGAGCTGGTACAGTGAAAACCCTAGAAATCTGAGTGATCTTTGAAACACAGCATCACTGAGTTGTCAATCATGTCTTATTGTGGTTGACTGGAACAGCAAAACAAAAGAAAGGAAAGGGAAAATTAAAAAAAAAAAAAAAAAAAAAAAAGGCTTCTGAGCCTAATGTTTGCAAAACAATTCCTTTGGGTCAAGGCTATTAGTTTTCTTTGCAATGTTAAAGCTGATTCCCAGAAGGGCTCCTTTTTATTTTGTTGATTCATGTTACACTGATAACATGTGAAGCTTTGTTAGCTCTTGTGCTCACCCATCTCCTGAGATTTCATCCTATTCTTTATTGGTTTATATTACTCTTACTAAGCATTCTGATCTGAACTTTGCTTGCATTTGATAGTATTGCAGTTAAAATATTCTTTTTAAAGGTCTAGGATTAGCAGCGCATGAATATCGGCAATGAACTGAGAGGACAGCTCTGGTCAGTAGTAGAAGAGGCTGCACCAGGGTGTTTCCTTCTAATATAAATATATCGTATGTAGTGTCTTAGAGTGTTATAAATATCCATCAAGAGCAGAACAATACAACAGGTCTTGCTCTAAATTAATCACCATCAACCTAAGTAGATAATGGCTGAAATTTTTTATAAATAATAGTGATTTATTAGATATTTCATTACCCCTATTTTGCCTAAGAACCATCTGCTGCGTAAAGTCAATATTGAAAACTTGATAGCATTCATTAAGCACTTATCTCCATTACTTCTAACTCTTGTACATACATTAGAGAAGGCCAAGAGGGCAACCAACCGTAGTGAGTAAAAATCAAATGTGTTTTTTGCTTTTATAGCCACAGAATTAAGCTGTACTACCTTGGAGATTTAAAGGGCTCTTATGTTTTGGAAGAAGTTAGCCATTTAATCTTGTAAAAGTCACACTGAATTTCTTCAGAATTTCCACATAAATTGACTGTGAAAAAAATTTGCTAGTGAAAATGGGAAGGTTTTTCTAGTAATGAATTGCAGTGTAAAAGTAACAATCATCACTAACGAAGAAAAATAAGCAGATTATCTTCTGAGGCCTGTTATCAAACACCTGAAACTTTAAAACCAAATGACCCCATAAAAGTGGAACCAAAAAAAACCCACAAAAATGTACCATTGAAGTACTCTCAGTAAAAAAAAAAAAAAAAAACTCACCAAAATAATTTGCACTGTAAATAGCATATGTATATTTTCAAATCCTCTGCAATAATATTTTCAGCAAACTACTGAATATTAGCTTCTTTTTTTTTGGTAGGGTTTTTTGTTTGTTTGTTTTTGGGTTTTTTGGGTTTTTTTGTGAAGTGGGAGCTAACATTTTGCCAATTATATTGCAAGGTTTTTTTTTGCAGCTTCATCTTTCTGGCAGAACTATTCGTCTTAGAGTGTAACATAATTGTTTTATTCTTGTAAAATAAACCACGTCTTTTTAGGAAAAGATAGTGATGCATCCCAGAGGGATGCACCCAGCTCATATAAGTAGGATGCAGTCAGATTGTACTTTCAGTGAGGCACCATCATGCCCAGGCATTTTGGGCATCAGGTAAATTACAGAAGATTTTAGGAAAAGAGAGTGTTTGGGTTTTTTCCTGTTTGAGGGGGGAAAGAGGAAGGATAGGCTTTTAGTGGGTTTTTTCTTCTTTCCTAGAGAAATAATGAATCCTTTCCTAGGGCGAAAAAGACCAAGTGCAAGCTGTGAATAAAATATTTAGGTTTGTGAAGCTCTAAATTGTCAAAAGTAAGTTAGAGGGAGTTATCTGCCACTGCTTGAAATTAGACTACATTAAAAAAGTATTGGTTTTGTTTCAGTATCGGAGGAAGCATAGAATCATAAAGTAATTAAGGATGGAAGTGCAACATTGGATGAGGACTGTTCCCAGTAATGTTAATAATAAATACCTAATTTATCTGAGTTTGATATAAGCTCTTTTAAAATAACATGCTGCAATATCTTACACTTGCTTGAAGAGTCCCTAAATCTGCAAATGATTTACTGCAAAAAAATGTCCCTTTCCATAAATGAGATTTTAAATCAAATCATACACTTTCATATAACAAAACTGAAAAAAGGGAGAAGCAAAAAAAATAATATTACCCCTTAATATATTTGTCTTAGCACTGAAAGAACAGCATCTGTGCCCTTTTCAATAATGCTGCATTATTCATTTTAATGCACTGAATGCAACAAACACCACTGAAAACTTCCTGGCTTTTGATTGAGAACTGTGGTTTCAGAAAGTTTCCAGTCTCAAAACACATTTTCCAAGGACATACCTGGTTTATTTAACAGGAAAGAGTGTAGTTGACTGTCGCTATAGGACACGAGAAAGCACAACGCGAGCCACTTGCTACCTTGCAAGGCAAAAAAGAGAGCGTTTATTTTCTGACTCCAACTTTTATACTTCTCCAAAGGTGACAGTGGATTGGAGAGTGAACGGGCCACCTCTCCGAAGACATTGGACAAAGCACTAGTACATCAAGTCTCTCCACCCCCATGGAGGAATGCAAAACAATACGTTATTTACAAGAAACTGGTGTGGGAAAGTTTCCCAATAGAATGTAAATTCAGAAGGCTTAAGAAAACTCAAGAATCAGGGGACAGTTGACTAGTACTGACTGACCTTGCCTGTAAGTATTGCATCCCTGAAGCCTGCAAGTAAAAGTAATGGACAACACGATGAAGTGATGCACAGCTGGGCAGATGATACTCCCTGATGTGGTAGTGCAGTATTTTTTTTGACAGGTTTATGAAGTGTATTGGTATATTCCAGCAGGACTGGAATGTGCCACCGCTGCAGCAGGTTAGCAGGACACCTAGTGGCTTTGGTAAATGGAACTGGAATTACTTCTCCCTCTTACTGATACACTGTCAAGATTTTCAGAATAGGCTCTCAGTTCCTCACTGCTTCTGTATTGTCTCAAAGCATTTTGCACCACAGTTCTTCCCTGTATTTTTTTCTGCATTTAACGAAGCAGGGGAAAAAAATCCCTGCATGCATTCTAAGTACTGTGACCCACTTTCAGAAGAAATATTGTTGGTGCTTATTGCATGACTGCTGTAGTCAGGGTTTTCAGCACAAAGCAGTTCACTTAAAATCACAAATTCCATATATCGACTTTATTATTTTGTTGCCACTAAGGCAGGGAGGTGCTTTTCATGATGGTGAGTATTTTTAAAACTAACCATTTTTAATGTAATGCATATAGAGGTTTTCTTTTATCATATTCGTATTATCCATTACCTCATTTTTATTTCTTCTGGGACTAAGTAATTCCCACTAAATCGATAATTCATATGAAAGTGAGACACTTAAATGACACTTAAGGAATCTGTGCATGTAAAATGCTTTTCTTATAAAGCCACAAGTCAGCCTCTCAGTGAAATTAAAACCACTACACATTGAGTGTTCAAGGTCACCTTGTAGTGCAGGCAGATACAGTGCTGCCACATCAGGTTAGGCAGGATCTATCTAACCTAGTATTATGTCTCATTTGCTGGCTGGCAGCAACATCAGAAGTGTACCTGTGATTAATGTGAGGTGAACTGTAGTTTGCCAGGGGTCTTGGGCACCTCCTGAAGAAACCAGAAAAAATCTAAAATCACCTGAAGGTTAGACGAGTTCACCAAGAACAAATTATGGCTTTCTGTGCTGATCTGCTGCTCTGCACTGGAGCTGCATCCTGCCCTGATAATCTTCACAGACACCAGCAGCCATTGCAGCTGCCAGCAAGGAGCAGCATTTCATAGCCAGGTTGGCAAAGACTCCTCAAGCATTGCCAAGAGAGCATCAAGACAGTAAAGTGACAACAGAATTGGTAACCCAGTGGGTCAAAAGCTTAAGATCCAATTGCAGGGAACTTGGTCCCTTCAGTCAAGTGCTCTAAAGCAAATGCCTTTACATAGTAGAGAAAAACGCAATTGATAGACTTTTAAATCAGAAAAGATCTGACCCAAACAGCTAGAACAAGACTTAATTATGGTCCATTGAGATCCTATGCAGATTAATTTCAAGCAATTTTTCTCAGCAGGTAGAGAAAACCAGTGTTTTGAGGATTTCCTCTTGTGTCACATTCAGTAATGATATACAGTCATTAAACAAGTTGCTAGAGAAGTTTGAGGCTATCCCTTTCCCAGACAAAATTACCTTTCTCAAAATAGAGATAATCTACATAAATTAATTTTCCATCATTTCATTGCTTGTAAAAACTAGCTATGACATAATTCATAGCTGGTAGCAAGCCTTGTTCCAACACCCAGTTCCAGAAATGACAATGAAGACATTAGCTGGGATTTTCTTTCTCTGACCTCATCAGATGACATAAAATAGACCCTCTGAATTCTATTCTTTAGCAAATGTCTATGAATTATAGACTGAATAAATTATAATCATCCTCTGCTTTCAAACAGATGACACTGAGCAGATGTGACTTTGATAGGTTTCAAGATCGTAGTCTTCATAAGCCCATGATTTCCTTTTATAGTATTTCAGAATCATGGTATCTGGTTATATATCTTTGAAGAGATCTGCCTGTTCCATGCAAGCGAGATAGGCTTTTCTCTTAGCTTTGATCTCACATTTCCACATGTCCCTTGAATATTTGTGATTTATATTAATGATCATAGAATCATTAAGGTTAGAAAAGATCTCCAAGATCATTGGGTCCATCCTTTGATCAAACATCACTATGCCCACTAAATCATGACACTAAGTATGATGACCGACCAATCAATTCTTGAGCACTTCCAAAGATGGTATCGCCGCTAATTTTCTGGGCAGTCTATTCCAATGCCTAATCACTCTTTCAGTGAAAAAAATTATTCCTAATGTCCAACATAAACCACCATTTCCTCTTGTTTTGTTAGTAGTTACCTGGAAGAAGAGGCAAACTCCACATCCTATAATCTCTTTAGGCAGATGTAGAGAGCAATGAGGTTACCTCTGAGCCTCCTTTTCTCCAGGACGAACATCCCCAGCTCCTTCAGTAGCTCCTCCTAGGAATTACCTCTGGACCCTTCATCAATTCCTTCACCCTTCTCTGGACTCACTCCAGCCTTTCAATGTCCTTTTTGTAGAGAGGGCCCAGAACCAAACACAGCACTCAAGGTGTGGCCTCACCAGTGACAAGTGCAGAGGGACAATCACTGCCCTGATCCTGCCAGACACACTACTGCCAATATAGACCAGGATGCCACTGGCTTTCTTAACTACCTGGATGCAGGCTGGCTCTTGGTCAGCTGGGTATTGACCACCATCCCCAGGACCTTTTCTTTTCTGCTGCACAGCCTTCCAGTCACTTTGTCCTAGCCTGTAGCTCTGCATGGTGTTTTTTGTGACCCAAGGGCTGGACCTGCCACTGGGCATTGTTGAACCTCATACAGTTGGCCTCAGCCCATTAATTCAGACTTTCCAGATATTTCTGCAGAGCCTTCCTGCCCTCCATCAGATCAACACTCCCACAAAACTTAGTGCCACTGAGCTTTGCAGTTTTAAACATCAGTCCTTATAAAAATTTATATAACTTCCTTTGATAGTTATAATCCCAAAACACTGTGTATAGGCTGATGAAAGGCCCCACATATCATCAGTCAACCAATTATTAAAATTTAGAAGGCACTACTTCAAAGTGCTATTTAAATATTGTACCAAGACACTACCCTGTCTCCTGAATGATGGCTCTTTGTCCCTTGTCTTTCCCACAAGGAAAATACCTCTGAGAGAAGGTCTGTGAGTAAATCTTTGGGAGATTGCTGAAATTCTCTCTTCTCATTTCTTTTGCCTCTCTCTCATTTGCCTACATCCAAAACCATTGTAAGACTTTGCATCTTTTTCAAATTGCAGTGAATACACATCTTCATTCCATATTCTGTTAATATCACCTTGTTACTTTTATTTTAAATATGAAAATCTTCCATGTGCTACTGCATCACTACTACACACTCATACATAGTTTATCAAAAGTATGAATACTGTGAATATTACTTTAGGGATTTTTATATTTATTAAGATAATATAAGGTTTTAGAAAATGAAATTTATTCAGTTTTTGGCAATAGTCCTTGTTTGTACACCAGAAGTTGTCATTCTTAATGTAACAATTCTGGTTTTACTGCACTGTCTGAGAATCAAAAGCTGCTCTAGCCATCATTACCAAACAATGACTGGCTTGGTTGCATTAGGTATTTAATTTTCTAGACTTCAACTAGAGAAAACAAAGCCTAATAGCTTGATTGTTTTGAGACTTCTTTATTCCTCACAGTTTGAAGGACTCATGTACTTGCTTTCTTTAGACTCTCTTTTTTTTTCCCCCATTTGTCTTAAAACATTCCAGTTTCACCCATGGTGTAAAGAGATTTGAAGCCTCATGAGAAGCAGGCTGAATATAGGTATGGAAATACTTATTTATCAGTGACTTTCAAACTTAATGATAAAGATATTTCAAGTACTATAGCATGTGTCTGATTCAGGGTCTGATTCAGAGATGAGAATGATGTATTCAGCATTTTCTTAAATGGCACTGGTATAATTTCATGCAAATAAAGGTGTATATTTCCAGATAATTTTTCATGTAACAGTTACTGAAATGTGTATGAGATTTTTTTTGCTTTTTTCTGGAATTTATGGTAGGGAACAGATAATCCTGTTGGTATGTTTATGGTATGATTCACGTAGAAAATGATAGAAGGAAATGTTTATCGACTATGTACCAATACTACCAATACTACCCTACAGATGAATGGAGTGACAGAAAAGCCACTCCATTGGAATGGAAATGTGGGGTTGACCTCCAATGCTATCTTAACTAAAATTGTCTCAGTTAAAGTCCTTGTACTCTCAATAACCGACTGTCATGCTTCATATTTTGTGATGAAGTGACTTCATGCTTCATACCATGCAAGAGTAATTAAAATTTGAGACAAAGGTGCAAAGTTATCACTTCCTAACTGGGAGAGCTATGAATCACACAAAAGAACAAAGTCAAATTAAGGTGGTAGATTGGATTTTTGTGTCTCTGTTACTGGTGACTAATCTGTTTCATCCATAATACCTCAAACTTGCAAGTGCACATACTTACACCCATCTAAAAACAGTTCCTGAATGCATGGCAAAGGCAAATGACTGAACAGCCAGCTAGCACCAGATGGCATGGCAGGACACTGGCTAAAAATTTAGTGAACTAAAGTGTCAAAGATTTGTTTGTCTGCAAAGAAGGTCATACCTAAAACTCCCCAAGAAAATTCCTATAAATACCTAAATATAAGATACTCCTTAGAAATGGAAGTTTGTTTGAACTGTGTCCTGTTCATTTTTTCCCATTTCCACTTAGGTTTGTGTATTATTAAAATAGCAACCTAAGTGTTAACCCACTTACTCAGTTTTGAGACTGTGAATTTGAAATGTATATTTCAAAATAGGTGAAGGGTTTCTGGAGCAATTATATAAGTTTCAGTTATTTGTGTTACAGGCTTTGTTAAAAAAACTTGCTATTTATTCAGAAAGAAAACATTTGCTGCTTATATTAGTTCCAAAATTTTTCACATTTAGATGGCATTTCAAAAAAGAATGAAAGCTAACTTTTCTTTCCCAAGATATTGGGAAAGTTGCATGATTCCTTCTGAGTCATCCTTTTGAGATATGATGGAGGTGGGTTTTATAAGTCAGATGATGCTGTGAGCGTACAACAGATGTGCCAAGCTGGACTTGGTCCTTGCATCATCAGACACTGTTGTAAGTGCTAAAAGCCACTCAGTCAGAGGGAGTTTGAGCATGACTGAAATGTCATATAGAACAACTAGGTTTGTTTTTTCTGGAGGTATTGTGATTTATTTCCATAATTAAAAAAACTTTTGCACTCTAAAAAAGTTAATAATACAGACTCATTGAAGTAGAGAGTCATTAAAAGGAAGGAAGAACTCTTCCTCAAAATGATGACTCAGTTAAGAAGACAGATTTGTGAAAGCTGCTCCATACAGTAGAAGTTCTCACCCAGAAGGTCCTCCCACCAGCCCCGCCAGATTGTGTGAAGAGATTCAGAGGACATGCTTGCTAGCCAGGCATTGGGAAAGGGATCAGAGACTGATACGCCTAATCTACTCTGCATCCACCTCCCCTGTGCTTTTCCAAGGATGCCCTGCCATTCCAAGCCATTAACCAAACTGATGTTTGGAATGAATCAAAAGGATTTCTGGTCTGAATTCAGAATGGTATTCCTCTGTCCCCTGTGCCTTTTTTTCCTTCATCCTACCCTATGTGAAGTCAGTGATCATTCTCTTTAGTCTCCTCCATATGGAAGAATGTATTAGAAAAGAAGGACAAATGCTCAAACAGAACATACCCTTTCAGTCCCAAAGGAGACAGAGGGAAACAAACAGCATTTACACCTTATTTTCTTCACTTTATATTTGTAAATAAGTTGGAAGGTTTGGGCTGTTTCTTTTCTTTTACAGAGAGAATTTCTGGTCACCTAATCTTGATGGTACACTTATTTGTGTGCTAAGCAAAAAGGAACACTCTGTTCAGCTATTCCTATTCTGTTCAGCTGATAGTTCAGAAATCAATAAAGTGTTGCTCAAACTCCAAGTTCCAGTCTCTAAACATCTGCCTGATGTTAACTATATCTCATATATGCTTGTTTGCAAGATTTTTCCAGACTCAGTATCAGTATTTGGATGTAGTGGCCATGCAGAAAATAAGTTAAATTACCTAGAATGAATATTTCTTAAAGGAAAACTTATCCATGTGTATCAGTCAGTTCAAGCAAAGGCAGATGCCACATAGTTATAAAAGAAAGAGCCACCCATTTTTGCTGACAGCAAATATATACCAATCAACAGCAATAATGAAAATTTACCAGCATAGTTATTTTTCACACAAACAGCAAGGCAAATATTGATCAACTGCCTTAACTCAGTCAGGCATTAAGTTTCCTGATTGAGGAAAAAAATGGTAGCCAAGTGATGCATTTATAAAATGCATACATGTTGAAAAGGAAATAATTGTATGTATAGATGCTGGTATGGAAGAACCAACTATGCTCACTGCTCTTTAGATAGATATAATGCATTTTCTTCTTATTAGTGATAAGTTTTAGTATAAGAATTTGAGTCAAAGCTTAGCACAGAAGAAACATTTGTTGCCAGTACACATATGATGTTCTCATGGTTCTGTCTCAGATGTCATAGTAGTAATCTAAAATTTTAATTTCATAAAGGATGAAAATGACCTTCCCATTCTGGCTGATTTTGGATAGGACATCTTTGAAATAGAAGGAGACCCAGAATCTTGTAGGTTTCATGAGTATATCCTGCATTTCAGGGGTGGTGAGTAGTGAGAATGGACAAACAGTCTGTTGTAAAATCTCAGCTGTCAATATGTTACATTTTCAGACACAAAATCGAAGTTCAATTGATAATGCACCTTTATGTGTAGACTCTTCCAAGCCTTTTTTGCATGGACTTTAAGAACTCAAGCATGATAATCTCTAATTGTACATACTTAATCTGCCTTTCCTTAAACAGAGGTTGAAATAATGTTTAACAAATGAGTCATTTTAGTTTCCAAATATCAGTGAATTACTTAAAAGTTATAAATATATATGCACTAAAATAATCCATATGAAATTAGCTTCCTTCCGGATTACTCTTTTTCTGCAAAAATCTTCTCACAGTAGCAGTCAAGAACACTATATGCTTAAATATACGGCTTAAATTTGTCTGTAAATTAAATAAACATGGAACTTCAGTCCTGACAATTCAAACACCAACTGGTAAAGGTGTTATGCATCATTGCTCAAAATCCCAGTTCACTATTTTATAACAACGTTATTACAAACATGTCCTAATTCACATAGGAATTGCTTAGATATCCAGCAACAAGCATGTCTGGAGTACCATAGGAAGCTACTTGCTCAGCTACATTAGTCAAAGGCTTTACAGTTCACACATAGATTCTTTTAATATTATTCGTAATGTTATATATATTCTGTGTAGTCTGGAGTTAATTTATTGTCTCTCTGTAAGGGTATTGTATTCATTTTTATTTCATTTTATTTAATTAAAGATCCCCACAGAGTGGCTAACTGCCTGTCAATTCTTGCTTTTATGCAATACTTTCCTTAAATCTTTTTGGTAATACTCAGTTCATGAAGACCTTCAAGTAGAATGCAGGATGAGGCATTATGAATCATTGACTCAAAAAAACAGTTACTATGGGCAGTAGCCCATTATTAACTCTGTGTTCTCCTCTGTCAGGTATTGAATGATAATTAAAATGTGCAGCTTTCCTTACCCGGGTGATTGTCAGAGGCCCCAAACACTGAAAATGGATTTTGGGCAGAAAAGTTCTGAATCACAGCACTGAGACTTAGCCCGTATCATTCTCATCTATCAGTTTTCTGAAGAAAAAGCTTTTATTTTACACATGTACAGACAGCATAACAATTCTCTGCTATTTATTCTCCACCACATCCCATTACCAGTTACCAATATGTCCCAAACTGCCACTGCACAAGCAATGGCAGATATTCAGACCCTAGTAGTCAGAGTGTAAATCACAAATTTAGCATTACATATATCAAAATTCTATAAAAATAATATTCCTTTTTTTTTTATTTTATCATTTAAGCTTTTTTAGTTTTTCTTTGTTTCTGTATTTTAGAGCTCACAGCTCCCAAACACAACATGTTAAACTTATGTCCATAAGAGAGGGCTTGGTTTGTCTGAGTGGATTCCAGAAGCCTAGGTAAAAAACCCAGAGGCTCAAAATTTATCATAATTGACATTATCATTGCACTATAGTGCATCCAATGCACTTAGAAAAGTGTGCTGTTTTCTATTTCTACCTCTGAAGTGTATGCTTTGTATATTAGTGATTGACTGAAGATAGGATGTCTTTTTCTAATTTATTTTTTTTCTTCTAACACAAAGGATTATGCTTAAATGACCCTATTAAAAATAAAGATTTTCTATAATGGAGAAAAAAATTAAAACTCCAGGAATTTTAGAGTGACAGAAATGGAAAAAGTAGCACAATCTATTGAGCAAACAATTATCCTTAACCTAACTGGCTTCATGTATATGAATCATCCTGTCACATTAAATGCTTCCTGTGCCTTATGTATTTTGTGATATTGCTTTCTTTGAGAGTACAGGGACCTAAGTGCAAGTGAAAGGGCTTTTTATTTGAACTCTGTTTATATAGTAAAGAAGGAAGGAAAATCCAGAGTTCTAATCTGAGAAATCCACTGTTGGTAATCTAAAAAAAATAATGTTTTTGTATGTAAAACTACCTGAGGAAGTCCTGTCTGAGTGCAAGAGACTATACCAGATGCATCAAAGCTTATGGAAAACTCATAAGCCTAGGGAAACCCTGACTGTGATTAAAGAATTGCTACTATTTAGTATGAACCTGATCATACATTTTGTTCTAAAGTATACAGACATTGGCAAAATTCCTTGATTGAGGAAATTAATTGGAAGTTTGATTCACAGCATTGCTGCTTCCAGCAATACCACAGGCAAGCTGCTTTGACTTCAGTGGAACAAGCTTCTTTTAATCTTCTTACCTGGCAGAAGATTTAGTTGGAAGTGAAACTAGTCTGCAAGACTTCTACTGTCTTCAAAAACCACAACATTATTTTAGGAAGCTGTGCCTCTGTTAAGCAGTTACCAATAAGCAGTGGTAGTGACATCTGACATTCCCGCTCAGAATTAAGCACAACTCATGTGGTTCCCATATCCACGATTAGTCCAGGTTTTAGGTGTCCACCTGCAAGAGGCACAGGAGTCTCAAGGGTTGTGAGTACAAGTCATAGTTTCACATTTTGCAGTGCTGAAGTCATACATACCTTCATACATTTCAACCCAAACTTGCTCACTCTTAGCTCTCTCTGAGACAGAAGAGACACAAAAGAATGCACATTTGCACCAAAGTCAAGGATTATTCTCTCTGTTCTGTTGAAATATCTTTTGAAATATCAAACTTTGACCAGCTCTTCAAGCCAGGCTTTTTTTCAAATGAAACAAGGTACCAGAGATACATCCTTTCAGCCTAAAGTAAAATAGACATTTACTGATATAATCTATGAAAGCTTGATTTGACAAGCGTGGGTTCAGCAATAAAAGCAACCAATGTAAAATCATGATGATATGATCAATGTTAAGTCAGATATTTAAATCTTAAAAGAAAAAAATAAAAGAAGTGCATGAAATAACAAACCTGATCACATGTGTAAATAAGAGGTGAGGGATGTCCTCTCATCAAATCTGCTCTGTCCTCAGTCTTAAGCTGAAGTATTCAGTTCTTCTGTCACAGCATAAAGTAACAAAAAAGAAGGGTATAAAATTGTTTAGCTGAGCCCAGACAGTTTTATACAGGGAAGAAGATACCTAGAATTTATGATGATGCTTCTGAATCTAATGAAGTGCTCCTTTAATAACTGAAGCCACAGTTTGTGTTCTTTCTATTTTGAAGGAGACTGAAAATGGAAATTTGGATGACTGTTCTTTTATTCTAGTCTATTTTCTCTTCCAATTATGGAATATAACTACTTATAATCATGAAGTTATGATAACCTCAGGAAAGGAGGAAAACAGCAAATCATTTTTATTTTTGCTTAGCCAGAAAAGATAATATTTTTGAATCACTGAACACTTTTCACAGCTTTGTATCATCCGATAGAGTGATTTCTTTTAAACTTATGAATTAGTTCTGTGTATTTATAATTATATGGAGTAAGGAAATCTATAGTCATTGCTCTTTTCCCTTTCCAAAAACACCCCTAAAATATATACATTTTAACCTTTTTTGAATCTTACACCCATAGCAGCTGCTTCAGTTAAAAGACAGAGGATTGGTCATTGCTGCATTCTTTTCTTCCCTGGTTTCATTTACAAAATTAGTGGAATTGCTGAGCCATGTTATTACAATGTTTTTGAACCAGTTGGATATGGAATCAGGAAATCAAACAGAAAAGCACAAAAAGCTTTGGGGAAAAAAAATAGCTTGGGCAAGAAAGGGAGCTGGTTTTGTATTTCTGTAATGCACAAGAACCGAGACTGTTGCTTTACAGAGGATTTTCTGGGCTATGAATTATATAAAAGACATTGAATTAAAATATGATGCCCAAAACCAAGATCAGTGCAGCCCAGTTGCTCCTTTTTGAGTATCATTCTTCTGTATTCTGAAACACAAAAGCCAAACTGGGCTGAGATGCAAGACTGAGAAGCAATCTGAATATATCTTGTGTGAGGCCCTGAACATCAAGTCACAGATCTTGAGAGTTTTTTGAGGACTCAGTTTGGCCACTTAAAACATTCCTCTGAGGTTTACGGCTTCTTCTTAAAACATATGTACAGTTAGAGACCATGAATAATAGTGTGGTGTAGCAAAAAAAAAAAAAAAAAAAAAAAAAAAAAAAAAAAAAAAAAGCTATTTCCATTTGTATTCAAAGTTGTGTTCCACTGAAGTCAAATACATATTTCCAAATGTAACCATTTCTGGTAGATTTACACAAATGAAGACTGTTCATGCTGCTGGTTTTATTGTCTTCCTGTGTTAGTCTTACAGACTGTGTTAGACTTACCAGTTCCTGAACCTAGAATAGTTGCAAATCCGCCAATTTCATACCATATAGTAAGTTAGCTCTTGTTAATTCCTGCGAGATTTATGGCAGCATGCAGCAAAACTTCTCTACACTACTGATCGGTGGATTTCAGTCTGTTCAGCAGTAGAAATCTCCATCTCATGTGTCATTTCAAGGATAAAATCTTTTGAAACTGCATGGAGTTCAATTTTGATCCATTAAGCTGGTGCTCACAAAGTATCTAGAGCTACTCAAAGACACTTTTAGATAACTAAATGTATTTTTGCTAACTAGACCTCCCTGTTGAAAATAATAGTTGGATAGTACATGTGTGACTTTTGCCTGTAGCTGATTTTCCAGTTAATTATTTCTGAAGACAAAGTAATTTAAATTAATATCCCATAGGAAAAGGAAGGTTTCAATTTTTAATCTCCTTGCTAGATTTTACAGAGCTGGGTCTTAGTGCCCATGGATGAAGTAGTAGTTGATATGGGATTTTTGAATTTCAGCAAAATTTGACACTATCTTGCCCAGTATCATTGTGGGAAAAATGTCCATCACACTGCTAGACAATTCCATAACATTTTGGGTAAGAAACTGGGTGATGGGTTGGGTTTAAAGAGTTATAGTGGTTACACATGTGGGATTTCCTTGTGCTCAATTTTAGGGCCAGTGCTCTTTAATGTTTTCTTAAAGTGCCTGGATGCAGGAATCAAGTTTATCTTAAATGAATTTGCCGATAGTATTAAGCTAGGATTCCCTCAAGGGTAGAGAGGTATTACTAAGAAATCTGGATAGACTAGACATCTGGGCCATCACCAACCATGTGAAATTTAAGAGCAAGTGCCAGAATCTCTGCCTGGGACAGAGTAATAATGATTATACATTTAAATTGGAGGAGAAGTGATTTCAGCTCTGCAGAAAGAGATCTGGGTATCTGGGTTGATTACAAGTTGGACATGACCCAGCAGTGCCCTGGCATCCAGGAGGGCCACCTGTGTCCTGGGCTGCATCAGGCACAGCATCACAGCCAGGTAAGGGAGGGGATTGTCCCACTCTGCTCTGCACTGGGGTGGCCTTACCTCACGTGCTGGGGGCAGTTCTGGGTGCTATAGTGTAAGGAGGACAACAAATAATTAGAGTGTGTCCAGAGGAGGGCAATCAAGATAGTGAAAGGCTTTGGGGGTTAAAACTTTGGAGTAATGGTTGAGGTCACCTAGCTTGTTCAGCCTGGGGAAGAGAAGACTGAGTGACCCCATTGTAGTCTAAACATGGGAGTTCCTCATGGGAGGCAGCAGAGGGGAAGGTGCTCATCTCCTCCTTCTGGTGATCAGTGATAGGAACAAGAAAATGGAATGAAGCTGCATTAGAGGAAATTCAGATGGGAGATTAGGAAAAAGTTCTTCCCTGAGAAGGTAGTTGATCACTGCAACAGGCTCCCCAGGGAATTGTCCATGGCACCAGGCCTATCAGAGTTCAAGAACTATCAAGATGATGCTCTTACTCTTGTGATTTACTTTTAGATGGTTCTGTAAGAAATGAGGAGTTAATGATCTTTATGGGTTTCATTCAACTTGAGAGATTTTATGATTCCATGATTGTAAAAAAATGATCATAGTGATTATCATAGCCCCTGTTCAGGGGCAGCCTGAAGAGAAAAATCTCATATTCCATCTAATTGATATCACCCTTGTACTTATACATCACTGGTTTTATGATTATTTTTGAATTCTAAATACTTTTAGCAATAATTGTCATTGTGATAAGTAATAAAGTTTAAAACTGCTATGAATTTTTAAATTAAGTGAATTATAACCTAATGACAAGGATTTAAAGAAAGTCATATTATACATTTCAGAACAAAGAGACATCATCAGCATCCTTTGCTTTGTGGATATCCTTTCATCTCCAGATTCAAAGGGCATAATATTCATATTATTCATACCTCAGCATACAAGGTAAATAAATGTCTCTTTTGTTTTTGTTTAGCCACTAGAGAGATTTTGTGTTTATATAGTGTCTATTCAAAAATTACATAGATGTGCAAGATCTCTTCTGAAGAAGATGCTGGAAGATCTCACAGCTCCAATTCTATCCTTTCTGTTCATGTATCCTCCTTTTTTGCATACCCCTTCCTACCCCCATGCACCAGCTGAAAATATGCAGTGTTTTTGAGAATGAGTCAATTCAGACCTCTTTCAGTTCCCCTCTTCTTTGATGTTTCTGGTTACTCTGTGGCTTAAGTTACTTTTCAGAGCTAAAAACTAACTGAAAGGATGAAAAATCACACACAGCCTTCATAAAGAGGTGTATTAATTCTTGCTGTAGTATAATACTTAATTTCACATAACACCTACAGTAGTTTTTGAATAAGTGATTTTGAGTTGATAGGGTGAGTGCCTTCAATTTTAAAATCCCAAATGATATGGTCTCATCTGTGTTTCTTACAGTTGTCTTTGATATTAATGAGCTTTTAATTAGGAATAAAACTGAGACATCATTATGGATAGATATTAATGCAGACTCAAGCTTTTTTTTTTTTTTTTTTTTTTTTTTTTTTTATTTAGGCCATCTGAAAGTGCTCTGGCAAAAGACAGCTATTCTAGCAATAATTTTATTTAGGACAAGGACAAGTACATTAGTCTTGTAGAGTATTAATACAGATGGTATAAATAGTGCTCTCCTTTAAGGACATTTAGGAATATGTACATTTTTGTGAGTCTTAGTATGCATGAAATGGTTGGAAATTATTCATTGAAACTGCTTCTAGATAGAATATTATGGTTTTAATGATCTGTAAGAGTTTAGAAAATATTTTGAGGGAAAAAGATCACTGGAAAAAAATGTCTGGGAAAAAAGTTTTCAACAAATGATAAAATAATTTCAAGAGAAAAAGGCTTTTGTTTTTTGTAGACTTGCACTGTACATCTGTAGAGTCAGGCAGAAAATATAACCTAGATCACCATCTTTGAGCTGAAGTCTGTAGATCTAAACCAAGAAAAAACTCCTGCAAATATGATATGGGTGTAGTTGAGGTTTACTCCTCACTTTGAAGAGAGAAGTACAGCAATACTATAAAGAACTGTTGGAGATCTTCCAAGAGACTCTAAGTCCATAGATGAGCTTGTACTAGGTACTGCACAATGCAGCAGACAACTGCTTGTAGCTTTGCACTAGCTCTTTGCAAGGCAAGTGTCTTCTGACTGGTATCAGCCTCTGGACATCACACATAGATCAGGACAACTGCAGGACACAGCACTATCAACTGTTAATGTGATACGTCAGTTTACTGAGGAAGCAGCAGGGTTACATAGACACAGACTGTGTTCTTCTGAAAAAGTAAAAAAGAAAAAAAATTATTACTAGCTTAAAAACTATACACAATTACCTTTGTAACTAGTGCTAGCACATTAGGGCAGCTGAGTAAATTCAGTATGGAAAGCTGTCCTTTCTAATCCCTTTACCTTGGTAAACCAGGAAAATAAATGTATTTGGCATATTGTTTAAGTATTAGTCATCTTCTGTAGTAATTAAAGAAAATGTTAACCAAATACATACTAGTAGCAGAGGCTCTGTCTTGTACAAAAATTGTTTTCATTAGATTTTATACTAAATGAATGAGGTGCAGTTTCTTGGGAAGTGCTTTTTTTCTGAATAAATTTATAAATACCAAGTCAAAAAAAGCACTGAGGTAACAGGTCTCCATTGCCAGGATTTGGAAAGTTGCTTCTGGTATCACATCAAATATGAGTACAGATTTCAAGCAAATGGGCAACTGTACATTCTCAAAAGAATAGGTTTCATTTGTGATGAGTAGTTAGTGAAGCATAGAAGAGTTAGCAAATTTCTATCTGGATCACTTGGAAGCTACCTACCACACTGCTGTGACACTAGGAACTCTGCAGTGGGCCAGGCTCAAATCAAGGGCTTAATTATGACTGATTCAGCTGAAAAAAAAAATCTGACTACCAAATTTCATCTGTTTGCTGTCTTCCACATTTTATCTCTTTCTGTTCCTTTGTTGCTGAACATAGGGACTTAGTTCTTAGGTCAGCTGACACCAGTAAATATCTGGAGTAACATTCATGGAATATGGGTATGAATAAAGCAGAGATTAATAGTTGTGTCTTGTCCACTTGCAAACATGTCAGGTCTTTTTTCCAGATGCCCTACCTTAATCCATCTGCAGGCTGATATTGAGTCTAAGTATATTTTAAGAATGCCTTTAGCAAACAGGGAATCTCCAAGGCAGTTTTCTGTTCTCTTCTTCTCTCAACTGTATAAATTATAATCAACTCTATTTTAATTCAAAGTGCAGTAATTTTGTGCAGCTGTCCCAAAGATATCTTCTTTATCTGAGCTATTAAGTGACTTCAGTTAGGTCTATCATGAAATTTCTTCACGAATGCCCAGTTACTGTTGACCAGTGTGTTGAAATATATCTCTTCTTTCCTTTATGCCTCCTCAAATGCTGACCACAATTTTCTAAGTGGCTAAGACAGCTACTCTGAATTCGAAGTCATAATAGGAACTGAGGGCCTTCTGGCACAGACTAAGAATTGTACTCATTTCCTTTTCCTTATTTTTAATGTTCCAAATATTATACTGTAGTTCTTGTACTGTCTTTCCAGACTTTGACTACTGCAGTCAAAACTCATGCAGTCAAAAAGAAGAGCAGCAGATAGGTCAGCAGCTTGCTGCTAGGTTGTACTGTGAAGGCCTTGTGTGCAATGGTATGAAGATAGTCCCCAGAGAATATATTCCTTGCTTTGTCTGATAGAGTTTCAGTGAAAGATACATGCAAACATGCTTATCAAGGTGTAAGAAAAAAAAAATACAGGATGGGTTTCATTTTTTTCTTTTGTTAGCTTAATAAGTTGTACTGAAATAATTTGTTGCAGCTTTGCTCTACTTTTGAGAGTCTTGTCTTAGTACAAAAGAAAATATATTGGTTTCAATTTCTTCAGCCTTCCCATTTACTTTATTTTTAAGCTATTTTCAAACTTTAAACTCTATCCACCTCTAGGTAAGACAGAGGAATTGATGAATGTTACTCTTGTAAAATGCATTTGCTTTTTTCAGATGTACTTAACAAAAAAATGTTCTTAAAAATACAGGTTTAAGTATTCAGAGCCTTTTGACTAAAGATCCTTTGAACTATGTTATGAAGAAACAACAGCCCTTGTAGTACTAATCAAATGATTTCTTATCTTTCCTGGGCACATTATCCATACACTTTAGCCTCTGCATACCATGATTTGTCACCAGGCCCTGTGTTGCTGCCATTAAAAAAAAAAAAAAAAACAAAAAAAACAAACAAACAAAAAAAAACTAAAGCCAAAAACAAAACCAAAAACAAAATAAAAAGGAAAAACCCTGCAGGTTTTTTCATGTCAGTGAATTAAATAGTTTGAAACCCTTTTTGGTGGTGATAGTAATCACAGGACTGTAGTAAGCACTAGAATTAACTCAACCAGACCCATACTCTCTGAAGTACTTTTGGTTTCATTTTTGTCCTGTGCAAACATAGAGCTGCTAGGGAAAACTTCTCAGCTGCTAATGGCACATTAATCTGTTTGCCTCTCTTAATAGGAAATATGGTCATTGTCACCTAGCTTTCATGTGTGGGCAAGATAACAAATAAGAAATTTTTGACATTAAAGCTAACAAAAATGAAATTATACAACAGGTAGAAGTTTGTGAAACATATTGTTAAGATTACCAATGAGAACCTCTGTTTACATAAGGTGGAAGTCAGCACATTACTGGGACAGCAGAGCTCTCTGGACTTAAACATTCACATATTTGAAAGAAACATCCATCTATAACATGCTATATCAAGAATGTTTCATATGATGATCTAGATATAGTGCAGATTGCTTGTGGCTTCCTAATCGGAATACTGAAGAGAAATTCAAATATGCTTGAATGCAGTAGCCCTCAAAATCTGTTCCCACCCCAGATTTAAAAAGCAGCTTCCTTCCTTTTCAGTAGCTTTCCATCACCAACATCTTCACTCATTAAAGATGAGAAGGAACCGGATATTAGAATTAAAACTTCAGAGGAATTTACATCCCTGTTTTCCTACATAAGAGATACTGTGCAGGCTGCAGTGGTGTCATCTATTCTGTTATGCCCAGACAGTTTTAGAAGAAAGGTTTTTTTCAAGAGGAAGGTAAACTTTTAATGTAAAGTTGTTGCTAAAAAAGGCTTCCTAAACTTTAATCAATGCAGTTGGCCTTCATACTGCTTTAGTTTTCGATTAATTTATTCAGACTTCATTAGCTACAACAGATATGAAAAGCAAGTAGTATTTAACACTCACATTCTCCCACCAGGGTTCCTGCTTGTGGTAACAAAGAATGTTAATATTCACCTGCCTAGATACATTCTGAAACAAAGATACACTTTGAAGTAATGAATCCTAACTTGCAAGAGATTTTTAATCTTTTCCAAAATCTACATTTTTGATCTGCTGCATTCTCCAAGAGTAACAACTTTAGCTCTTTGTTGTCATATGATTTTTCCTCCTGTATTAAAATAACTTCACCTTCTTCCCCTGTGATAAGTTGTTCTCAGTATTTGGAACATTAAAATCTTGTAAGAATCATCAATGAAAAGGGAGTATAATGTAATTTTGCTTTGTAACTGTTAAGATAAATCAACTTAATAAAAATGTGGGCTCATGCATTGTTTTTGAAGTCACATATCACTCAGAGGGGCTACAATGCAGAGATACTAAACACCAGGTCTAGGGATGGAGTTTAGCTACAAAAGGAGGGTGGTCTTCCAATACCAAGGAGCCCAAACAAAATGCAGTACAAACTAGTTAGGAGCTGTACTGTTTTCAGAAGTACAAGTTCTCTTTCTCTATTATTGCATTATCATGTCAACACGTCTATTGTCATGGTGATTATGTTGTTCTGGTCTTTGCCGTTGAATAATTATCTCTTAGTGA